GTAGACACTCCGATGCTTAAGTCAGCAATAATCGGGGCTACCTTTAGGGCGGAGATAAAAAGAGCTTAGGGTTGGTTTTTATTACCTTTCTGAGGTGGCCCCTGGGGGTATTTATAGGCCTTTGTGAGGTATCCATGTGACTTGCTTAGCAGGACAATCGGAGCCTGACGTGTCTATCCAGACGATTATTTCGGGACCGGGAATTTGAGAGGTATTCAGATGCATGGATGTCCACCATACTTATTGTGCCACTCGTCATAAGGAATCAAGTGCGGGCATGCTTATTGTCATTGTCATGCAGCTATTTGAGCAGGGAGCTTTGGATTCATTTCTCACTTTGGTCATAAAGGAATTACTGTAGCAGTCCGAGGCTTGGCACCTCGGACCTGTCCTTACACTATTCCCCCCCCAAAGTCATTCACTTGTGAATGATGTTGCTTGGGATGATGAGAGGAGTGCATGAACAAAGGAATTATGGATAAGTCATGGAAGTATAAGGAAGAAAGCTATAATTTAAATTTAGACATAGCCGTAGCTAATAATGAAATACATAACAGTGGGTCATACTGGGGTGCCTTAAATGGAATATGACCGGAACTATCACGACCGTGGTCGTGGTGAAAATAATGACCGGAGTCATAATGTAAAAGATGATGATCGAAGTTATAATGGAGCCAGGGTCATGATAAAAATGATAACTGGAGTTACAAAGGCCAAGGTTGTGATGAAAAGTGATGACCGGAGTCATAATGGCCGGAGCCGTAATAAAATATAATGACCGGAGTCATAAGGGCCGGAGCCGAAGTAGAGTATGTGACATGTGGTCGCAGTAACCAGGACCGAAGTAGAACATGTCTCTGTGGTCGGAGCTGAAGTAAAACACTTTGCCCATCAAAAAGTGTAATTGTAAAAGTAAGCAGGAGTGCTGAGCTGGGCTTAAAATATGATGACCAGAGTCATAATGGCCGTAGCCGAAATAAAATGTGTGATACTAGGTCACTGTGACCGAAGCCGATGTGAAATGTCATGCAGCATTATTGTGGCTGGAGCCGAAGTGAAACACTTGACAAAATTGAGAAAAGTAAAGAAAGGTGTTGAAATGGTCGTGAGTGGGTTCGTTCTGAAAAATCTGACAAAGGGGTAACACGTGGTGTGACAGTTGTCCTTGAAATGACGTGCGCAATAAATGCGGCCGTAAAAAGATAACTGCGACAGTTAAACGGGCAAATTTAAAAACGAACCGTCAAATTCAAAACGGTACCGTTTGGGGTTGTCCGTCGAATTCCAAACGGTGTCAACAGGAACCGTAAGATTAAACGAATCTCAGCC